TACCCATGACCCAGGGCGTTGTCCCTGTGCCAGCCACTGGAAGAAGGGGATGGAGACACAATCCCTGTCTTTAAGAAGCTGGCACTGGAATCTAGTTAAGGGCTGGTGGTGATTGGAAACACATGGCACACGGCAGGGTCACTCCATCAGCAGCTCCAGGACTGGATGAGTGCGGCTCCCTGGAGTTGGCAGATGGAACACCTGGGCAGTTACTCTTGGACCTGAGCAGGAGGCCATTTATTCAAGGTTGCTTAGCTGCATTTACTTGTAAGGTTAAATTCCCACTTTAGCTGCTATCCAGTCCACAGGAAGACACGACCTTAAAAGAAGGTAGGAGGGGCAAGGTGAAGATTTCTTGTAAATTACAGCCAGAGTCAGCCCACTTTTCCGTGTGTGCTGTGTGGAAAGGACCAGATTCTAGTTAAGTCTCCAATTGTGGGTTTTTTAATACATCTCTCACACTGACTAAACATTGTCTCCAAAATGGTGATCATCACACAGGCCCGCCACATGTGCTTTTGTCATCTTGAAGCTGAGTTAACATGAACATGTTAATGAAAATCAAAAGTTTTTAAATCTTTAGTCTGCCCTCATCCTCCTACTGTCACTCCCCACAAAATAATTTTAAAGTATTCCACTTCTGTGAGGAAAAACAAGGAGACTGAAGTTATACAATTGAAGTCATCAAAACAGTGAAAAGTTAGCAGCTTAAATAGTCATTTCTAACTCATCATTGCCGTGACCCTTAAGTCCAAAACCTTGGAATGGTTTTCATTTTGCCTTTTTCACATTATCCATGATCATTCAGAGCCCTCGCATATGGCTGGCGACAACTCTAGAACACCATTTACGCAGACAGCTATGTGAATGGCCACACCCGCTCCCCACAAGTTGTGTAGTGCGTACCTCAGCAACCTCACCAAGTATGTGTGGTCATTCCACTGTCAGTACCAACCATGTAAATCAGGAGTTCTCAAGTTGAGACCATGGCAGGTTTTTACTGATTCACAATAAAAAGGGAAAATAATCAAAGTAATAATAGCTAACATTGTTGAGTGCTTACTATGAGCCAGACATCATAATGACTCCTTTATTCCTAATGGCAACCCAACAGGCACCATTATGGTCCTGTTTTCCCTGTGAGGAAACTGAACCCGAAGCAGCCTGAGAGCCTGCAGTCTTCAGGCAGCAGTCAGTATAAAGCTGCCAGCTGACCGCTCCTGAGAACTGTCCTGTGTTCTGAGATTTCATCCTTCCTAAATATTTGGTGTCAGACTGACCTTTCTTTTGTGAAATGATGGCGATACTGAGAATGCTGTTGCCTCAGCCACTCTTCTGTCTCTGCATCCTTCCGACTGCCTGGCCACTCCCGTAGTTAGGTCTTCAATTTCTTCCTGGCGGGTTTCCTACTTCCTGGCCTTCTTCCTGTTCCTCTTCCTCTCGCTCAGCCAGCTGTCAGTGTCTGGTCAAGTGCAGCTCTGATCTTCTCCTTCCTCTGCTCAGAAACCTTCCAGGAGTTGATATCGAACCTGAAGTGAGTTCTCTCACCCGTTGCACAGCAAGCCAGTCTCTGACAATAGGTGTAGTGAAAGAAAGTAGGAATTTTATTATTGCACAGTGCTGAGCAAGGAAAAAGGGCAGCCAATGCTGAAATCCCAAACTCCTCGAAAAGCTAAAAGGAAGGGTTTTTATTTGGGGTTTTAGGTAGGGGAGGGGGAGCATATAGCCTTGCTGATCAGAGCTTTTCCACCAGCCTGTGTTTGGCCTTGAGACTACTTGCAGAGAGGAGGGAGCCCGTGACCTCACTGCTCAGAGCTTTCCCACCAGCCTGTAGCTCCTTGGTGGGGAGGAGGAGGAGATAACGAATCCAGGTGGTTGTCGTTGGCTGTGTCTGTCTCCGTGGAGAATAGTGTATTTTGGAGCCGAGAAGCCAGGGAGTAAGCAGGGAATGAGTGCTTTGGTTTTAACCCCAATATATGCTGTGTTTAATGTGGGGAATCTGGTATCAGAGCCAGTATCAGAATTTCTACTGCCTCAGCTGGGATTCAGTTTTCTCCACATTCAGCCTAACTGTCTAGGGGTGTGTGGGGAGGCAGTCAGGGAGGCCTCCCTGACACTATCGGGACAGCCTCCCCCCCACCGGCAGTTAGCTGTGTCCCATCTCCCCTTTAACTCCTGGGACCCTCTGCTGCTCCTCTCCTGGGACAGGTGGCTTTCTTTATCCCATTAGACTGTCGCAGCAAATCTTAGACCCAGGAGGTACTGTATAAATATTTGTTGGCAATTAAATGATTCTACCAACTTCTGGCAAATCAAATTGTGGAAATTATCTGTCTTTTAAATCATCCATAGTGATTGCAATGTGGGTTTGGCTGCTCCCCAACTTCTGTGATGTCATCTGAGTGGATGGCCTTGCCATTAGTTTGTTCAGTTAGCAGCTTGGCTCATAGAAAACTGAAAGCTATACCCCAAACTGTAATCTTGCAGGGTTGGGGTCACAAAACAGGTTTCCATTTTATACCTTCTATCTTTCTATAAATACTTGAATTATTCACAACAGACTTGTGTTACCTTTATAATTAAAAAGGTTAAATATTTTTAAGTGAGTTAAACAAACCAAAGACAATATTATTTGCTTTTCTCACTCCACTTTTCGCCTTCTGTGAAAAGGACATATATCTAAAGAAAAAAAAAATAGTTATTTGAACAAAAGCCCTGACTCCCGAGGAACTCAGTGATGGGGAAGGACTCCAGAGAAGTTTGCTCATCTGAGGTCCAGGTGAAGTGTAAGTGCTTCGAAGCCTGTAGAAAAAGGGTATTCTGGAGGAGAGTCTGCAGGGGTAAGACAAACAGCCAGACAAACAGCCAGAAAGTGTCCCCAGATCAGAGGAAGACGGGGGAGCTGGATGGGACCCAGGCACTGAGCTTCGCCACCTCCTGCTTGGAGCACAGGCACACACTTGTGCATAGGGTTTGCTTGGCTTGGCAGGGGCCCCTCTCTGTGGAGTCACCCTGACCTCCAGTCCCTGGAGTAAATGATCGCTCCCATGACGGCATACTCATCTGTGTGGATGACTGGGCTCAAGGCCATCACGCAGCTGACCCACCTCATCCGCCCCCAGAGCACGCAGAGGGCCCCTGCCCTCTCGCACCCACTGAGACCTCAGGCTGAGGACAAGCAGTGAGCCGTCCCTGGTTTCTTAGAGTGGAATCTCTTGTCCTCCAGCCTGGCAGCAGCCGTGAGAGTGGCCCTGGCACAGGAGCAAGAGTTGTAGGGAAAGCACTCCCCAACAGGGGCCGTGACTTTAGTTGAGGGAGCTGTGCAGTCCAGGGTGACTTGGCAGGGAGGGACCCAGAGGAATAAATTCCCAGGTCCTCCCTTCTGCCCTCACATCTCCTGCTTGTCCCTCCATTAGCCAAATAAGTACTTAGCTGGATACTTAGACTAAAAATGACTTATTGTTTATCTGAAATGCAAGTTTAACTCAGCATGCTGTGTTCTTATTTGCTAAATCTCGCACGACCCTAAAAAGAGACCACACTACTCCCTGCACACACACACTCAGGGGCCCAGGAGAGTGTGACACCTGAGTGTGGCAGGAGGCACAGCCCTCGAGTGGGGATGGGGCGCCTCTGTGTGCCCCAGTCACTAACCCACAAAATGCCAGGCTTGTGTTTCTCCTGCCTGCCTGTCTCACCCACATGCGGTCAATATGTTTGAATAAATAACAACCAGTATAGAATGTATGGTCCCAAAATGCCATTAAAAAAACTAGAAGTGAGTTTTTATTTTTGTTTTTAATTTTTTTTGTTGAAGATTGGCACCTGAGCTAACAACTGTTGCCAATCTTCTCTTTTTTTTTCCCCTGCTTTTTCTCCCCAAATCCCCCCAGTACATAGTTGTATATTTTAGTTGTGGGTCCTTCTAGTTGTGGCATGTGGGACACCGCCTCAACATGGCCTGATGAGCAGTGCCATGTCTGCACCCAGGATCCAAGCCAGCAAAACCCTGGGCCACCAAAGCGGAGCATGTGAACTTAACTACTCGGCCATGGGGCCGGCCCCTTTAATTTTATTTTATGTTTATTTCTATTTACATATATTTATTATTTTTTTAAATATTTGTTTCTATCTTAGAAGTACTTGTGGGCCAGATGAAATCAAAAATTTCCAGGTCCATTCCAGCAGGCAAGCATCTTGCTGGAAGCCCCAAGTCATTCTAGCTGGTGACATAAGTGCATGTTGATTTTTTTCCCCCATGCCTAGGGATGGGTCCTGTTGAGGCACAAGAATTGTAAACTTGTCTCTTTGTGACGAGTAGCAGCCTTTGCAAGACTGTTGGCCAAATGTGCGACATAGTCGAGGACTGAGCAGACAGTGAGAGGAGTGATCTCAGGTGCCATCACCTTCCTGCCATGGTGCTGAGTTGGGTATGAAGGACTTGGAATGAGTCACACTTTTTAAAAATGGGTGAAGGTCGTCAAAAGGTACAAGCTTCCAGCTATAAAATCAATCCTGGACATGTAATGTGCAGCATGGTGACTGTAGTTAATGATACTGTTTGTATATTTGAAAGTTGCTGAGAGAGTACATCTTACAAGTTCTCATCACAGGAAAAGCAAATTTGTAACTGTATGTGGTGATGGATGTTAAGTAGACTTATTGTGGTGATCATTTCGTGATATATAACGAATATCGAATCATTATGTCATATACCTGAGACTAATATGTTATATGTCAATTATATCTCAATAAAAAAGAAAATATTTTTTGATGGGTGAATTATATATCTTAAGCTTTATTTAGAAGGCGGTAAGTAAACGAATGAATTTGTAAGTGAGAATATATGTCCAGATGTGTGTGTTAAATAAATCCTGCTCGTATTTTCTGAGGACACTGAGGATGCCCCATTTCTCTCTCTTTGTGGCCTAATAAGTTGGGTACCTTCTGGGAAAGCTCCGTTATTTACAAGGCTAAAAATCGAATGTTCTGTTTTCCAGCTGTTGCTGAGGTGAGGGAGGCAACCACGCCCAACGTGCCACTCCCAGGACCTGCCCCGGGAAGCCTGCCAGCGGACCACACACCAGCCTCCTTTCCTCACACCAGTGGGTACCAGCCTGCCTTGATGTTTTCGCCAACCCAGCCCAGAAGACTGCATACAAGAAATGCAGCCCTTCCCAGGGTGACCTCTGCCAGGTCAAAGCTCCTCCCGCCTCTTGCATTTAATCACACGGTGGGCCACATAATACTTTCCGAACATAAGGACGTCAAGTTTAATTGCTCAATCAGTATACCTAATGTGTACCAGGACACCGACGTTATTTCTTGGTGGAAAGACGGGAAGGAATTGGTTGGGGCACATCATGCAATTACTCAGTTTTATACAGATGATGAAGTTACAACAATAATTGCTTCCTTCAGGTACGTGTGCTCTTTCTTCCTTTCTTTTTTAATGTTGTTATACTGTTGCTCAAAAGTAAAGACCTTGTCAATAAAAAACATCCTTTTGTCTTCTGTGTGAGCAACCCCACTGGTCCATTTAGAGTATAGATTAATACCTGACGGTCTGTATTGTTGACCTCTTTTAAATGGCTCTTGCTCCCTCTGGAATGTTGGTTATCAGATGTTCTGGTTCTGGAGGACCACTTCCCAGCTGACCTACAAGTCATGTCAAGTCCTGCTTGACTCCAGAGCTTTCCCAGTGAGTGGGAACGGTGTTTCTTGCCAGGTATGAGGAGACATCTAAATCACCTGATGGGTGTGGAGCTTTTAAAGCAATGCAACCCTCTCATCCCTTTCACATGCCCGGTCCCCGCTCCCTTCCGCCTCTCCCCAACACCCCTGCTGCGGCTGCAGATCATGGTACTGACGTGCAGATCATGTGCACTGGGGTGGGAAAAAGGTGGAGAGTCTGTAAAGTTTGGGGAAACTAGACAAACTTCAGCCACGTGGGTCGGTATTCCACTTGGTGTTGGCAGGGGCAAGCCACATGAGTTAGGGGAGTGACACAGATAAGCCAAGCCAGGACGTATGTCTGGAATACATTGTTCCCAGGACTGAGTCAGCATATTTCAGAATGCTGGAGACTGGCCAGCTGCTTCTCTTCTCACCACCCTTTCTTATTCGCTACTCCTTCCTCTCAGCCAGGAGGGTTTTTGTGTTTTTTCTTTGTTCGTTTGTTTAAATGTCAGGACCTCCTTGCATGTATAGTTGTAGAGTTAGGTGGACCTGTAGTCATTAGAAGATCAGAATGAGGTCAGAGGCACGCAGAGTTGAGGCGAGGGCCTTTTGTCCGGGATGCCTCCGCCCTGGCGAGGGGCCCTCTTTGATCTGGTCTGTTTTCACTTTCTCTGACCTGATCCGCGGGGCAGTCCCAGACAGTGTCCTGTCTTTTGGTGAATCATTTTATGTTTCCTTTTCAGAAAACCGCCTCAGAGTTACCACAGACCTAACGATTCCAGTTAGAGTTTAGTGTCAACACTTCCATAAGATGTGCCGTTTTTTCCCCATATTATCCCAGGTTATAGGCTTGGTCAGAGTCAAGGCAGAGAACACAATAACCTCCATGTTTTTTATTGATTGACTAAACTCTGGCTGGGTCTCAGACTGCCTTTCTCAGCCAGTGGCTGAGACCATTCAGGAGCTTTGACTATATTTTTCTCTGAATCAACTACAAATTGCAGACATTTTACCATTAAGGGGCACAACTTCTGATGGGAGAAGTAAAATCACCATTTAATAATGAATAAGGAGCAGTTTAAAGGCTTAAAGAAACAGAAACCTAGCCCATTGGTCTCATCAGGCATCATTTAGGAGGGGCACACAGGCCTGCTGGCTCTCTGGGCTGGGGCTGCTAAGCAGGAGTCCTGCCCCTGGCCAGCGGGGAGACTACGGGTGAGCTGCTGCATCTTCTCTGGCCTTCTTGCCGGAGAGATGGGTTTGGACCACATGACTACCAGCTCCGAGTGTGCTCTAAGGGGCCATGAGATGTTCACAGGACTTAAATTGGAGAGTTTTTAAACTTAGATTAGACAGTATCTTGTTTTGAACTTTTGCCCTTAAAGTTCAGAAGGTGACCTGAATGATATTTTGAGAACTTTAGTGAAAAATTTAGACTTATGTATGTATTCAGTTTATTATACATAAACACGTTCTAAAGGAGAAAAATCTTATTTGACCTTCAAACTAATAAGCCTTAAGGCAAATTGAGTGATCAGAATTCTTACAAATGATGGACACTCAGCTGAATTGAGTAGCATTTGGTGCAACATCAAGGACACCATTATAATGCCCTTCGACTTTATTAAAGTCGTATTCAGGTGGTACAGTAGCTATAGAGTGCGTCTGTGAAGTACATTATAGTGACTTAATCAAGATTATAAATATTTGCATAATTTATTGGCAAGAGAGAAGGATGTTGGAGATCTGAAACGTGGTATATTTTATATGAGGACCCTGAGGTCCCTATGCATAGGGGGACTTTCCCAGGGTCACTAGATAGTGAGCTAGTCATCCTTAAACAGGGAACCCGACTTGCACACCTGCCGTGTTCCGTCTTCTCACATCTCCTGTGCCCTAAGGAAATCCACTCTGGTTCCCATGAACAGTGAAAGGTTAAAAACTAGTTCTAGGCTTTCAATGTATCCGGTTTTATGAGGAATTCATTAGCCTGCAGGTTTGTTGGAGTTGCCATCAACAGTACATGTACAGACCATGTTTATTCAAGGGAACCTGCAGATGAAATAATATGAAGGGAAGAGAACACAAAATATGGCTATCTGTATATTGGCAGGGGTTAAAGGAACTATAGAGAGAAACACATGGTATTTTGAGTTGGGTCATGGGACCGTTTTTGTGAAAGATGTTATTAGGACATGTCGAAATTCTGACATGAATTTTGAAAATGATGAGGTCTCCAGACTGAGGACTCCACAGTTAGTCCCTGCACTCATCCTTTAAATATGAAGCACTTGTGAGTTGCTGGAGACTGACGGGGTTATGGAAGCTGTATTTAACTTTCTCAGCTGGATGTTGCTTGCACCTTTCTCTTCCATAACATGCGAACTCTTGCCTCCTGCCTACCCTACACTTAAATTCCCCAATTCCTCCTTCTAAAAACAAGGGTTAGTGAAGCATCTGGTCTTTGATCCTAAAACAGGACCTGTCCTAGTAGAAGGTGTAGTTTGGGAGGCGTGCCTATCTAATGCAGCAGAACCTTCTCTGTTATTCCTTCCGTTGCTTCTGACCCCCTCTTTCCCACAGTGGCCTCACGCTGTCATATTGCTCCCTCTCTTCCAAAGGAAGAAAAGGATGTGATAAAGTAATTTACACCAGAGAAAGCTTTAACATTCACTAGTAACATCATTTTAGACACAGGAGTAGAGATTTTTTCCAAATTACAACTTAGGCAACGGCCCCCTGGTTTAAAAACAGCCAGCCTCGCTGGGGAAGATGTTTGCAGGCAATTCGTTAATTGTGGGATGAAGAACTAACTGAAGGAACGGCTGGGCATTGAGATGAGGGGAGCAGACCTGGTCCCTGTCCTCCTGTTTGTGCTGGTGAACAGAATGGAGGGGAAGGGAGAGTCAAGGGTCAAGTGCGGAAGTGCTAAGGCAGTGCTCATATGGTTAGGGAGGGTTTCCCTCCAAGTTTGGATTTGGCCTTGAAGTATTGAAGTAGGGGAGAGGATGTGACCTCAGGACCCAGGGAAGGACCCTTGTGCTGCTCAGGAGCAACCACATCTTGCAGTCAAACCTCAGCTTATTGGGGCTGACCTGGTGGTGCAGCGGTTAAGTGTACACGTTCCGCTTTGGCAGCCTGGGGTTCACTGGTTCAGATCCCGGGTGTGGACATGGCACTGCTTGGCAAGCCATGCTGTGGTAGGCTTCTACGTATAAAGTAGAAGAAGATGGGCACAGATGTGAGCTCAGGGCCAGTCTTCCTCAGCAAAAAGAGGAGGATTGGCAGCAGATGTTAGCTCAGGGCTAATCTTCCTCAAAAAGAAAAAAAGAGGTCAAACCTCAGCTTATTGAAACTGGCGGTTAGGATAGGGGTGGAAATGGTAGGAGGAGCTAATGGGCATTTAAGTATGAATCCCACATACTCTGCAAAGGTTACAGGAGATTTGGCATCATGCATGAGAATGTCCCTGAAAGGTATTTGAAACTACTTGGTCTTAGCTCCTGTATGTGTGTGTTTTTTAATTATTTTAATAGTAAAATATGTATTTTGTTAAATACTTGGAAAATACCAAACAAATACAAAGAAGGAAAGCATGGCCCACAACACCATGCTTGGAAAACTTTTCCAAGCATATGTAAATTTAATAGTCTTGAAATAGATTAGTACTTTATTACATAGATGAATAGATGTCTTGTTTCATTCTCTTAACATTATATTATGAATATTTCCCTACATTATTAAAAGTCTTCAAAATATTTTAATGGCTGCTATATGCTACTGTAATTTGCTGTTATAAAACAGAAGCAAATATGGAAGAATGCAAATGAAATTATAATGGGTAAACGTTAAATATTTTCAAAATGCCAAGGTTGGGGGCATATATAAGGGAAGGAGTAACTGATATGATACTTGGAGTCCAGATGCCCTCTTGAGCTGGGTTCATTCTGTGCTAATACACATTTTTTTCCTACTTCACTGGCTATCTGTTGTTGTTGTTAGAGCCAAGAGTTGTCTTTCATTAATAGGGGCAGAAAGCACTCAGTATCTGCTAGTGGGTTGGGATATTCCTAACTGATGGCCTGGGGGTTAATAGTGAAAATCCATGCCACCACCCCAACTTGCCCACCCCATGCCACCCGGCCTAGTCGTGGATGGTATGGGACTCAGGCTGCGTCACTCGATAACATTTACGGGACCTCCTTTGCGTGACTTAAGTCAGCCGGCTGGGCTTCCCCCTTGGCACTGCAACCAGCATCCCATCTTGTGTGATATCAAGCTTGACTGCTATCAGCTTGAAACTGTAGTGCGTCCGTTTGTCAGGGCCCTGGGACGTTCCTTGGCCAAGACCTTTCCCTGGAGCCTCTAAAAGAGGGAGTAATTTGTGGGATATAATTAGCTCTAAGGTCTGGGGTAGGGCGTAAAGAGCTCTCTAGCTTAGGTGGAAATGCTCTCTCGTCAGGGAGAACATTCCAGGAAGGCACTAGTCATCAAACCAGAAGACTGGGGAGACCAACTCTCAAGCAAAAACAAATGCTGATGCTCCTGTAGGCTGGCGGGCCCTGCAGGTTTAGTTATTGGGGGATTTGTGGCAAAGGGAAAGTATTTGGTGTTTGTTTTCTGTGTAGTCTAGGGTTTCCCAGTGCACTTTAAATTCTGGCACAGTTCCCAGTAGCTAAAGCGGGCAGGATTTTACTTTCTCAATAAATTTTCTTTGTAAACATGTTAAGTGGGTAGTTTGG